TGAACGATTTCAGATGGTCTCCACAAGTACTGGCTTGGAACGACATGCTACTATTATTAGAAGGACAGACAGTCCATTTCCCAGCTCCAAAGTGTCACTATGCACAGGATATAAAGTTTGATGCAGACACGCCAATATTTTGCACAGGCAAACAAGAAATAGTGTTGGTTAAAGGCGGAAACATAGACGAAAGGGAGAGCGAAATGATGCGTGTCAGGTGGCGAGTGTTTAGGTTTAACTACCAGATACCTGAGAATGAGCAACGAAATGTGCCGCCATGTCCACGGTGCTTTGCAGAACTTATTCTTAGACCGTGTTTACTGTAGAAATATATAGTAGCTACTACGTATGCTAATTAGATTAGCCAGGGGTTAAGTACAGAGCAGTGAGAACCAAACTTAACCATAGTCAACACACTCATTTTCAGCATTTTACTCAGTGCAACTTCATAAGTTGAATTACTTAAACTCGAATTAGGCCAAACAAAAGCACATTTCCAATCGAAAAATGTTAACTTGTTATATACTTTAGCGATTTTATGAAGGGTTAAGTTGAGCGACGTACATATAAAGGTGTTATCTGATCGTTCTCTTACATTAACAGCTACTTAACCATTTACTTAACCACTGTGTTTTTGAGCGAAATCTTATGTCTTTCGAAACATGTCTTTGCTTTTGTATTAAATAACAAATATTTTCATTGTACATTGTTTATTCTTGTAATTTAGGGAAGACTAATGACAATTTTCGGTCTTTGACTGTTCAACGGTTATCTGTCATTTTTACTGTCTACTTAACCAAGCTGACCACAATTATCTATTTAAAAAATGCATGTCAACTTTTCTTCATAAAGATAGCATTATCATTGTTGATGATAGCAAGAAATGTCATTTTCATCTGTATACGTAAATGAACTAGCAAATGGATGCTTGTTTTATACCGCATAAGGTTTTTATTGCATTTTTATCAATAACATTCTAAAAATATTTTACACTTTCTAGACGGACCAGTACACTATTACAATTGCTATAGCGCATCACTTTTAATACTTCAAACGCTTTCCTTTGCATTTTATAATTGCGTCTATTCTGCGATTGTTGACGGCGAACAGTTGCATATTTCAGCTATTTTCCTACATGAAAGATGTCTATGCTTAGAAAGCAGTCTGATGTACGCCTTTTCCTCGGCACATAACGCCTTGTTGATGGCATGATCACGTCTTATTCGCAGAATATTTTGATCTAACTTATTGAATAATCGTCCTTTTATAGAAATTATCTTATCTGTACTTCGTGAATATTGTTTTATTGACGTATTTTTGGTTTAAGTTCAGTTGAAATAGTACTTTCGAGCTATTTCTCTGTTTGGTAATATACTGTGTTACGACAGCACTAAAATCACGTATTCAACACCACACGTGTCAATGACCTAATGACGTCATTATCATTAGCGTTACCACCCCAGACAGCTCYCGACAAAATGTTTGTGAACATCCCCTGTTCATAAGATATGTATATTTCCTTTTATGGGTGGCCTGTGGCCGAGGACCCCTAGGTTCGAGTCTTGTAGGAGCACGAGGAGAAAAAGAATAAATATGGCGTTTGTTGAACTTGTTTATTCCACTGCGCAACATTTGGTAGCAGAGCGAGGTTTTCTCAAGTAAGAAATACAAGATGTCGCTAGAGACATTGAAGAAGGAAAAAATGAAGGGAAAAGCGGCCTTCACGCGTAAAACAAATCGTTTGTTTATGCTGTTGGAAGGCGGTCTTTCACCAAGAAGCGAAATTCGTGAAGAGTTTGATGCGTTAAATGGCCATGGAAAGCGTTATATTAGCAGTAGAAGGTCTGGAATCGTTTTACACTGACTCTGGAGATGTCGACAAAAGAGTAAATCTTTCTACAGAGTTGGAATTCATCGCTGAAGAGTTCGAAGAAGCGGAGAGAATCGTCGAGACATGTTTACGCGACAAACATACCGAAACGCCAAAGTCTTCACAGTTACTCAATGAACGTCCACGAGTTACCGATGTCGGACAATCATCAATAGAACAACTGATCGCAAGCATACAGCAAGAAGTCAGTGAAACGGAATTTCAACAAATCGTGCAAGAAATCGAGCAAAGCTTCAATGGACTAAAACAACGACAACACGACGTGCCAGACGGAGTGTCTCGCCATGCAGACAACATGGCGCCGAACGTTCCTGCGACAGAAAATATAGTACCCTCATCATCCAAAGAAGAAGAAAATTCTGAAACTATTGCAGCTACACCTGCAAATGATTCAATACAAATCCAAGCGGCCCAAACGGAGGAATTATCGACAAGCAACGAGAAGATCAAAGAAGAAACGTCTGATTGTAATCAACCACAGGGATCCCAAACCGAACCGGAAAACACAGAAACACTATCATCCGACGGTTCAAGAAGTACGTCCAATCAGTCCAACCCAGTTCGTGCAAAAGCCCAGAGAATTCGCGGCAAATGACAAAGCACAGGAAACCCAATCGTCTAAAAAGTCAACACAGGAAACCCAATCGTCTAAAAAGTCATCACAGGAAGCCCATTCGCCGCTGAATGTAAAGAAATCGACTCAGGAAACTAATAACTTTTCAAAATCTAACATTGATCAAGAACCACAGGAAACGTTTACACTAGCAGCTGCAGGAGTCATCCCGTCGTCTACACCAATATGCCCTCGCACAACGTCAAACTTCACTGTACAACCATCTTCATTGGAAATTGATTCATCCAGATTACTCACTCGTATTCCCATACCAAAGTTTCAGGGTGATAAAAGAAATTACGAATTGTGGAAAGCAGCATTTATATCCTGTGTTGACAACACAACCGCCACACCAGAATACAAGTTGTTACGTCTGCGAAACAGCTTAGAAGGAGAAGCATTGAAGGTGATAGAGAGTCTCAGACACTCTGCCGCAGCGTATGAGGTAGCGAAAGGGCGACTGGACAGAAAGTACAGAGAACATTTAGAACATTTTGCAGAACTTTTGGATGTCATAACAGTGAATCTTCGCGACGCCGGTCAAGAAAGTGAACTAGGCAATGGTGCATTGTACATCAACATGCAGAAAAAGCTAAATGAAGATCTACTATCAAATTATCATCGTTGGATCCACGAGAAGAAGTATTGGATCCACGAGAAGTATTGAGTATTGCTGACACAATACTCAATAGCACTTATATGGATGATTCTATGGACTCTATGCCAGATGTGAAATCTGCAATAGAACTTTACCAACAGTTGTCTCAGCTATGGGCCTCGGCTGGCATGCATGCTCGAAAGTGGCTATCTAACTCTCCAGAAGTGTTACAAGCTATACCTGCTGCAGATTGCGTCKCAGAAGTAGACMTGGACAAGGGTGAGCTACCAGTTACTAAGACGTTAGGAGTAACATGGTCTCCTAAGGAAGATCAATTTAAATTTCAAGTAAACCTGCCAAAACACAAGCACAAAGCGAGAGTTCTTGAAATGAATAGCCACGTTGTTTGACCCCCTTGGTTTCTTAACTCCATACATTATCCGTGCTAGAATTATTCTCCAGATGATGTGGACCAGTGGGCTTGACTAGGATGAACCGTTGAGTGCAGAACTCAAGACAAAGTCCCAGAATTGGTTCGATGAGTTACCTGAACTGTCTAACGTAAGAGTTCCGAGGTGTATCAGACTTGACACTGATGTTAAGGAGGCAACCATTCATACCTTTGTTGATGCTTCTATTGAGGCTTATGAGGCAGTTACCTA